CCCCAAAACCCCAAAACCCCATGGCAGAATTTAATTAGTTTTAGTGGCAATAGCAATTGATTTTAATTAATAGTTTTAAGGTTATAATAATCATAAAATATGTATAGTTATGGGGAAAATATATAAAATTAATTAAATTAACAACTCTTAACTCGTTCTGATTATAACTGGATGTTCAGCACCAACTCTAGTCCTGTCAAAATTCTTCCCAGGAGAAGCAGCAATATTAATGAAGATATTGGGTTTGAAGGAAGTCCTGTTAAATTTACTTTGAACCCAGCTTTTGAATATACCTAGCGGGAAAAATTAGTTTTATACAAAAGCTGATTTTATATGCTCTTTCTATTTTGTTTGTGTACAATGATAAATTCAATTGGATGGATCTGCTTTGCTCCTATATCAACTATCTTAATGAATGTAAGTAATCTACTACTTTCCTAGTTAAACCATTAACTTAGAACTATGATGTGAACATATTTTTGATAAATTATTTGAGCTTAATATATATGATTGCTTACTTACCAGTAAATTTTCCATCTGTTTATGCTCTGGATAAATGGGGATCTCGCTATGGTGTCCTAATTGGAATATTTTTAACAACAGTAGGTCTTTGGTTAAGATGTCTAATAAACTATAATTTTATTTGGGCTATTATTGGTCAAACAGTTTTGGCGATTGCTTAACCATTTACATTTAATGCCCCAGCCAAAATATCTGCAAACTGGTTCGGTGAAAAAGAAAGGCTCTATTCTACTTCAGTTGCTGTAAATGCAAATACATTAGGTGTTGCTATCGGTTATTTTATTCCTGCTTTATTTGTAAAAGACCAAGACGAATTCCATTAAGAAGATGCAAAAAATCACACTTGGCAGTTAATGATGTGTGTTGCTGCTGCATCAACTGCCATTTTAATACCAGTTGCGTTATCTTTTAAGGATAAACCACCTTCTCCCCCATCTTATTCATAAGTATCTGATATGCTAAAAGTAAATTAATCATTAAAAAAAGATTTGGCTTCACTGATAAAAAACAAAGGATTTATGCTAGCTTGTTTTGCAAATGGAGGTGTTATGGCTTTTTCATACTCATTCACCACTTTATTTGCTTAGATGATCTCTATATACGGATTTACTGCATCTTAAAGTTCGTGGATTGGAACAACATACCTTTTGGCAGGAATGGTAGGTGGTATTTTAGCATCAGTTTTTTTGACTTACAAGCCAAATTATAGGTTTTGCTCAATTTTTATGACATTAATGACACTAGGAAGTAAGTAATATAATCTTAATATGAAAAGTCATTTTATGAATCTCTATATTTTTATTTTTCCCTTCTTTTCATTAATTTTATTCTTTAGCTTGTATAAGTACGTATTTTGCAATTATAAGCCTCAGCTATGAGTTTTTGATGGTTACATGCGCATTTAATGGCTTTTTTTGTCTTGGAATTTTTACGGTAGCATATGAATTAGCAGTTGAGATGTCATTCCCTATTGGAGAGGCAACATCTGGAGGTCTCATAAATTCCATATCTAGTATTTTTGGAATTTCCCAAATCATGGCAATAACTCCAATTTTAGAAAGAGCTGAAAAATAAGATGTTATGATAACTACATTAATATTCTCAGGAATGCTACTACTATCTTTACTGTTGTTTATTTTCACAAAATTTGATCTTGCAAGAATAAAATTTGAGTAGTAGGATAAGTTTAACAATACTGGACTCGAAATGATGAGTATGCATAGATTTAATCAGAGTATAGACTTAAAGAATGAAAATTTTTCCTCTATAGCCCCAATGGTGGTCGAGGAGGTCTGAAAAATATTATAAAAGGGAATAAGTTATTGTCTCTTGAGGTAATACTTTCCTAAAGCTTATGTTTATGATAGCAAGACATATAATCAAAGTAAATTATCGTTATAAGTGATTAGATTATTTACTTGATTTAAAATCCAATAAAATCATGTAATTTTTAATCTTATGGGGTTTTGGGGTTTTGGGGTTTTGGGG